TATTTGTAGTTAAGGTTAAATTGTGTGTGTGTGTGTGTGTGTGTATATATATGTGTGTATATACACGTGTATATATACACGTATACACGTATATGTGTGTATATACACGTATATATACACGTATACACGTATATATACACATATGTGTATGTATACATATGAGAGAGGTTTTTTAATTATTATATAATTATTCATCAATTGATTATTATTTATTAATTTATATACACACACACACACACACACACAATTTAACCTTAACTACAAATATAAATTTAACCTTAACTATGAATTGTTTGGGTTTCTGTTGCTTGTTGGTCTCTTAAAAAAAAAAAAAAAAATTACAGCATTTTTGTAAGGCCGTTTTTAATCCTTAAATTACTGTGGTGTGCTTTCAACCTTTAACTCCGTTTTAACAAAACATTTTGTCTGGGAATATATTTAACTGTTGGGAGCTGCTGCCAGACAGACTACCTGTGAGAAGGTAGAGTGAGCAGACGATCTTGTGATTTGTCAAGAGAAAGGGTTAGAGTCCTATGCAGGAGAAGGCGAGAGAAACTGGTAGAGGTTGAGAGTGGCTTAGAAAAGGATGTAGGAGGGGAAGGTCGGAATAGAGAGGTTTAGCACCAAAATGAAAGAAGAACAATTTCAGTATTTGAATACTTTCTTCTAATTTGTTTTTTGGAAGTGTTTTATCCTTGATTTTTTCAGTCAGGAAACAAAGTTAGTATGTTATCACAATTCTATCCTCTCTCCTTGTCCTCATGTTTGTCATTTTATTAATCTGCGCTATAGTAATTAAAATAGATCTATCTAGAAAAGGTAACTGTCACACTGGAGAGACTCATGACCGTGAGTGCCTACGTCTGAGCAGACTGTCAAAAACAGTGCTGACACCCCAAACTGGTGGTATGTTCTATAATTAGATTTCGCCAAATCAGTAACAAGTATGAACTCCTGGATCACTGTACTAGTCTTATCATGGAGTCACAGATAGACCCCTTGGGCTCTCCTGTCTATCTTGTCACCCAAGCAATCTGGACAGTTACACCAAAAATCTCTCACTATTCAGGTTGCTTCCAGTCCCAAGAGACAAGTACTTACCCCATATCAGTTGGTTCCCTAGATCTTGCACCAAAGATAATGCTGGTAGCCAATCCTATAATAAACTATCTAAAGGTTTATTAATTAGGAAAAAGAAATGAGTTATTTATAGGTTAAAGCAAGCAAGCATATATACACAAATGAGTTACCGTGTCTGATTCATAAAGATGACAGAGATGTAGTAATCTGTCAATTCAAAATGTCTTTCAGGGAGGACCTAGGGGTAACCCCTGGGGATCTCTGCCTAAGTTTATCGTCTCTGGCCCTGTGAGAGTGCAAACAGCAAAGAGATAACAAATTTCCTCGTAACCCTGTTTTATCTTTTATATTTGGTCTTCTGGTCTATGGGAAGAGCTCCCTTGCACATAGCATTTCCAAAGTGTTATAGGGTCATTTACCAATCCTTGTATTGTCATGTTTCTTAATGGTCTATTTAATCTTGATAGACCTCCTTAATGGGCAGGGGGAGGAGAGGTTGTTGATCCCTGTGCTTGGGTTCACAAGTTCAGAGCAAACATTTTCAAAGTTTTAAAGCAAAACTTGTGTATTTCTTTATGAAGTGGAATACAGACATTACAAGTGAGGTTAATGCATGCAGCAATTCACAAACATTTAATAGAGCCTAAACATTAAATACATTATTATAAGAATAATATCTATTTTGAACAAAACTAACCTACAGGTGAGCTGGTTTGGTTTCCAGCTGTGAGTTTGTCAGTTCTTAGCTAATGCTTATGGCCTTAGCTAGAGCGGGCACTGGCTTAGCAACAACTCTGTAACTAATTCTAGTTGGTGTACTGAACACACTTATTAACAATTCTTTACTTGTACTCTGTGTGGGATGAACCCACTCAGTCAGTTACGGCTCAGGGCATTACTGTCTTAGGATAGGATGAATCCGAATTTTATAGCTCTTTTTATACTCGGGTTCATTTGATTCAATCAGTTTTATTGATAGAGAAAAGAGCACTTTGCATTTTAAATTGTCATTCACTGAAGATATGTATTCTTTTTATCTTTCATTTCTGATAGTGGTTGTGATGGACTTTATATCGCTTTGTGTTTCTAAAGTGCACCATATTAGACCTGTGTCTTCCATAACACTTCTAAAAGTAATTTTTATAATTTTTTAAAAGTTACATTATCAGTGGAAAAAAAAAAGAAGCTCTGTTGTTTTAGTGTTCAAATTTTCTCCAATTGTGTCTTCTGTAAAGTAAGCCTTTGTGAGAACTAGCTGATCATTCCAGTCTTCTGGTTTTAGAGTGGGGAAACCCTTGGGTAGTGATTAGCTGTTATCCTGCCAGTCCGATCGAGGGAGTGGTAGTAACCCAGGGTTTGCATTCTCTCAACTGTTACCATAGAAAGCAAATTAGCCAGTGAGTAGGAAATTAATTTCCCTTGGTATTCAATTCTTAGGCATTTTAAAGCACACACATGCTTCATTCTTATTGTTCACATTAATGCAATAAATTGGGGGAAGTTCTTGGATGTTTGTTTAAAGTGCATATTTTTAGTATCCGATACTTTCTGTTTTCATTTGTACTTGCATAATATGTAGGCTTGTTATATTCTGTTGCTTAATGTTTAAGACTTTTGAATTATCTTTAATAGGCCAAGTTGTAAATATGGAAGGCTAATAAAGGCTTTTACTTTTTAGGCGAGATAAGCTATGGATTTGCATGGAGTTCTGTGGAGGTGGTTCTCTACAGGATATTTATCATGGTAAGCCATCACTGTGCATCTGTGAAAGCTAAATATAACTTGTTAGACCAATGTATAGTTACAGTATTTACAGGGTTAAAAATGAAAAATTTTAAATGGTCAGCATTGTTTACCTGTGTCTTAGGATCTAATATATATTATAACCATTTAATGACAATTTTAACTTGTTTAAGGACAAATAGTTTACATATTAGAAAAGTACCAGTTTGCCAAAACAAACAAAATTTACTATATATTTTTAAAGAAGGGCTGGTAAGACAGAAATAACTTGTGTGTTTTGATATACTACTCGTTTCTTTAATTTTACAATATTTCTAATGTAAAAAATAAAATGAAGAACATGCTTCCAGTCGTGCAGTTTTAGCATATATCCACTTTTCTTCCAAGTTCATATGAGCTTGGCTTTATTATATTACACACTATTACCTGCTGATAGCTGGTATAATGGATCTATTGTCATGAATGGTGTTGCTTGCATAGAGAGATTGTCATGTATATTGATATTTGTATTAGAATAGTGCTTAGAGGAAGGAACAGGAATCAGGGCTTCATGCTGGGTGCTGTACAGATGCAAAATACAAAGATAATCCCTGCTTCAATCAGTTTACAAAATATGGTTTAAGATTACATGCAGCAGGTGGGCAAAACAGTTAGGAGCTGGGAGGGGAACGATAAGGTAGCAGTGAAATGCGCAGTCCTCTGAAAACACCACATATTGTTGCAAAAGTGAAAGGTTTCACTGATGGACAAGAGTACAGCCCAGTTAAAAAGGGTCTTAGCTGAATGTGGAATGTTAATTGCTAGTTTTATTTGCATTACATTAGTTAAATCTATTGCTAAGGCTGTAAAAAGGTTGACTTTTTTGTTCAAAAATTGTTGCCACAGTTTGTTAAAGCTGTGGTTCAAGGCATGAAGACTACCTTCCAAAGTAGGGCAGCAGCACAGAAAATATGACTCGTGTCTTGCTTGGCTCTCAAAGGCCAGCATGATGGCGGGGTGCCTGGGGCAAATATGAGCGAGTGGTGCAATCTGGCACACAGGGTCACAATGCCACTGAAATTTATGGTAACTGTAAAAGGTAAAAGTTGTAGTTTCTGCAACAAAATTGCAGCCTGTAATTTTCTTACAGCCCTATCTATCACACAATGGCAAGAATACATTAGTTGATAGAAATACATATTTTTGTTAGAACAGGCTTTGAAAAATGTTAGGATAATGGAAATCTAAGAACAAGGATTCTATCATTCTTGCACGAGGACCTGCATGAAAGGGACAATATTCCAGACGAAAGGGGTAACAAATGGGGATTTAATTGCAGCCCTGAAACAGTCTTTCCAGATAAAGGTCCACCCTAGGAACCTTCAAGCCACCAACATCTAAATTGCAAAAACTTCTGTTGGAATTATTACTTATGCTGGCTATTACCACAACACTAGTTTAACCATAAATTCCTTTATTAACTCCAAAGGTCAAATAGGTATTTATATAATTGCTCTAAACATGATTACAATGCCTAAATAATAAGCAATTTACTACATCCAAACAGTAACAGAACATTGATAAGTATTCGCTCAAGATACTTACAAACAGGCTAAACTAAGAGGTGTTCAGACCTATATTAGTCGGCTCCAATTTGGTCATACAGTTTCTAGCAATGAACCCTTTTAAGAGTTTACTTTTTTATACCCTTTAACAGACAAGTGATGTCATTGCCAATTACTGTCTTCAGCTAAAACCCGTTTGAGACAGTTCACCCTTATTTTTCAGTCTTAATCCAGATAAGATTTACAACCTCCTATCTTCCCAAGGCCTTTCTTCCCCTCCTCGTTGACCCAACAGTTTTTTCCATTGCACCTGGGTTCACATAGGGTTTAACACTGGTATGGGGGGTGGGAAGGTTTATGCAGGTCCCTTTAAGACAGATTTTTTTGGTCTTATTTAAAACCATCTGCAGTCACCCCTATCAGTCAGAAGCCGCCTTTTTAGAAAATTTCCCTTATCTCGTTAGTTAATCTTTGAACCAGGCATCCTCCCTACTACATTCCTTCTGGCCTTATAACTCATTATTTTCAAGGCCTGTCTTCTACTTGCTAGTGAGGGCCTTTCTTTACAACACATATATATTACAAACTTAAGCTAATTCTAATTCTTTAATTTCATATTTATCCCACAATTTCCCACCCAGTAGCTTCATCTTCTGCACTGGAAGAGTAAAACAGCATACAGACATTCAGGTTTATCTCATAACAGTAATTAAGCTGAAGGATCATTTTACATGCACAGATTGTTATAATGACCCAAGAAGTTACAAGTGGCCAAGTCAGTCCTTGGCATTTCTGCTAACATTGAGAAGAGCATTAATCGTGGTGATAGTTTTTGTGATGTGAAAGACCTGCTCACCAGGAAATGAGCTCACTTCACATAAGTGGCTGAACAGATGTCCTGTAGTAATGCTTTCCTGTCACTACTGATTTTGGCTTCAACCCTGCTATTTAGAGTAGAAGACTCTGTACTCATTTCACTAATTTCCAAGCTGTGTCTCAGTCCAAACAGACCTTGGGCCTCAACAATTAAATCCTCAGGTTACGTCTATACTATAGTTAAACACCCACTGCTGACTCATGTCAGCTGACTTGGGCCCATGGGGCTCGAGCGAAGCGACTGTTCAGTTGCAGTGTAGATGTTTGGGTGTGGACTGGAGCCCAGGCTCTGGGACTCTATCCCCTTATGGGGTCTCAGAGCCCGGGCTCCCACCCACGCCCAAACATTTACACCGCAGTTAAATAGCCCCTTAGCTTGAGCCCTGCAAGCTGTCACAGGCAGCGGCAGGTACTTAGTTCCAGTGTAGCCATGCCCTAAGGCAGGGGTCTCAAACTCAATTTACTTTAGGGCCAGGGCCAGTCCTCAAATCCTCCCAGCGGGCCAATAATGTCACTGAAGATGGTGTTCAGAAAAGAAAACATTTATATTGTATTTTTATTTCTAATTTGTTAGAAATAATAAAACTGTCATGCAACTTTATACAGTTCTTCGCCTGCCAGAGAGTTTTTAGTGTTTGCCAGACACCTGGCAACGCTTCAGTTCTGTCAGTTTGTTGATGTTTGGCCTCAGTGATGGAGCAGTTGAAACCTTCAGGATTGCAGCAAGGTGTGCAGCAGATACTTGTATTCGGTATTTTGACTCGTTTAAATTCATTGTGGAAAAAAGTGATGCTGACTCTGCCTGGCGACTAGTGATGGTGTCTCTGTCCCTCTCCCCCAGCCAATGGGAGCTGTGGGGAGCAGTGCCTGCAACAGACGTTGCCGGCAGTGTGGCTGCATGCGTCTCTCTTCCAAGGGCCACAGTGGGGAGGTTCTCGGGCCGGCACTTTGAGACCCTTGATCTACCCTACAATTTTTAGCCTGGCAGCCTGAACCCTGTGATCCCGAGTCAGTTGACCTGGGCTCTGAGACTTGGCGCCGCTGTTTTTCTGTTGCAATGTAGGTGTACCCTAAGAGGTAACACCAAAGGATTTCAGTATACTCTAGTTCCCTGGTAATTAGATTTCTCAAAGTACCCATGAATTCTTAGAAAAATTGGTGTCATTTAGATATCCAGATTGACCTGATTCCAGAACTCCATGCTTCCCTTTACTGAGGATCTTGAAATAAAATAGGAGTTACATTTTGGAAGACAGATTTAGATTTGTTCTCAAGTTTCATATTGCAAAGTGGTGTTTTGTGTGACGGCTGGGAGTTTCAAAGGAGCCTAAGGGAGTTAAACACCCAGCTCCTATTGGATTTCAGTGGGACGTGAGCACCTTAACTCTCTTAATCCTCTTTGAGAAATTCCAGCCTCCATCCATATTTCTTCTGTTTACTTTGTCAGATTGGAAAAGTTTGTGAAGAGGGTTGCTATTCTTTTAGAATTATTTAGTTTCAGGGTAAAAATGATACAGCTGGAACCACAGAATGTAGACTAGTGCTTCTGTGTGTGTCTGCTGAACTTGTGCAGGGCACTGAAATACACCACCAGGAAAATTTTTAAAAAAACCCTCTTTTTGTAAAAACAAAATATTTTCTTTCTTGCAGTGACTGGACCACTTTCAGAACAGCAGATTGCCTATGTTAGCAGAGAAACACTACAGGTAGCTAACATTCTAATTTGTACATAATTGTTAGTCTTCAGGGAAAAATAAAAGGACCAAAAACATCTGAAGCATCTGAAAGAATCATGTTGCATACCTTAGGAGTTACTCTATCTTTTGCTAAAGAGAAGATCCTGTATAATAGCTTTCACAAAATGTAGAATTATTCTGTCATCTGGCTCAAGTTATTCCGAGTTGTTTAAAAGGAGGTTAGTACCTTCTATCTTCCCTGTAGTCGTGTGTGCATAATTGCATTAAATAAGATATTTGATTTATACCATAGATTAGTAGAGAACTTGAAAACTCAATTTTGAATATGTAAATGAATTATAGGTCTTTTCTTATAAATATAACCATATGTCTTAATTATTTACAAGATACATATTTCTTTGTTTAGAAAACTCCAGGCAATAGTGTGTGGTCTCTTGCCTTTTGTTTTTGTTTTGGGAAAACTTTGATTCCATTTTATTCTTCTAGTCTGAGAGTCTTGAGGTCTCTCTCAAATGGGGCATTTCTTTAGCTATATAGGATGAGATTTTTTTGGATTAATAATTTTTGGTTGTTTGAGAAAATAACATGTTATAATTCTCATTTAGTATGTGTATGTTGCTTAGGAAATATAAATGAAGTACCTCATACACAAAAAGAACAGGAGTACTTGTGGCACCTTAGAGACTAACAAATTTATTAGAGCATAAGCTTTCGTGGGCTACTGCCCACTTCTTCGGGCATCTATATGCATCCGAAGAAGTGGGCAGTAGCCCACGAAAGCTTATGCTCTAATAAATTTGTTAGTCTCTAAGGTGCCACAAGTACTCCTGTTCTTTTTGCGGATACAGACTAACACGGCTGCTACTCTAATACCTCATACACATTATCTGAATGTTTTATGAATGAATGTTTTTGTAGATTATGAAATTGTCCCTTACTGCATGTATGATATTAAAACTACAATATTTTGACCAAATATAACATTCATAGGTTCTAATGTGTTTAAAATAAGCAAAATTTATAGTTCAGTCATCCTCATCAATCAAAAGTCTGAGGAAAATATATCTTATATCACTCTCTAAAAGTCAACAGGCTTAGTCCAAGACCTCCAAATCCTGGTCCCATTGAAGTTGATAGAAGTTTTGCCACTGACTTCAGTGAGGCCAGAATTTCACCGTGGGGTGTCTAAAGTTAGGCTACATGTCCATATTTAGGAACCTAAAAAAGGGAGTTTATTTTGCAAGTGCTTCCCAACAGCTCCCATTGAAATCAGGAGGAGCGTCTGTGTACTCCTTACTTTTGGAAATCTGTTCCCTTAGTTAGGTCCCTAAATACAGACTTTTAGGGGTCTACCTTTAGGCATATGGTTTGTGAAGCCTTGGGTTCTTTTAGATCAGTGGTGGAAGTGAGCGAATTGTTGACCCAGTCCTGTAACAGCCCCAAGACATTTAAATCTAGGGGCTATTAGTAAAACTGTTGAAGCTGATATCAGCTGTATGTCTATACAAAAATACCTATTTCTCCAAAGATATTCATTACAATGAATCCCACTTTTAGGTCCAGGTCCATGCATGCACATGCGGTGGGGATTCTCTCATCTCAAAAATCTGAATTGCTGGTTCCAATTGGTTGTGTCGCATGCCAACCGTGCTCAGGAACCTAGATTCCCCTTGGTGCCTCAGTGATCAGTTCTTTTCTCTTGTGGTAGATAAAGGAGTTCCAGTCGGGAGCACTGACTAGCTCTCCAGCTAAATTGCATTCAGGCTATTGATGAGCTGACAAAAAGGGAAAAACACTTCCCAAAAGCATATCCTTGCTAGTGCTCCTATCTGTCTAGGTATTTATGCTGTGCCCATCATCTGAGCAGCTAACAAATCTTAGAAACAATCCCTATCTTTTTTGTCCTCCACCAGTCTGTGGTTTGCTTTTATCACTATGTGAAGGCTATTTCAAAGAAGTGGGACTTATTTTTCAATTTGAAGATGGTAATATTCACAGTAATCCCATTTTTTTCCAAGAGTGAATTCTGCAGTCTTGGTCCACTTGCCAAAATAGGTCTCTGTCCCACACTTAAGTGCTTCTGTCTTGAGTTCTGGAGAAATGTAACCATTATGAGTTCATGACTGCCAAGAGTGAGACAGTTGTTCAGCTGCAGTCAATCTCAGAGAGGATTTTGGAACCCTGTACTTGATTCTGGCTATCACTGAATACAATGCAGAGAGTGGAACACTGAATGGTGGTGTCCTCTCAGTAGCCTGTGTTGTCATCCGGCTCAACTTTTTCCCTTTCATCCCACCACCTTTGAAGTTCAAGTCTGGATGCATTGCTGAGGCACTGTACCTGGGTCACCCCAAGCAGCTTCTGTGCCAGGTGGTGTTTAGATATGAGTGTTTTTAGCTCCAGTTCTCTCAGAGCCTTTAGCTGAACTTAGTCTTATGTGCAGTTGATGCTCTCCAATTTTCTATTCTTTATCATTTCAAGTATGGAAGAAGAAAGCTGGTTCACTGAATTCAGGAATGCCATGATTGTAGTCATACAATTTCCCTTACGGATGTTCAGTATTACTATGCCTTCAGCAAGGACCATGATTGATTGGAGTTCACCATCCGTTCTTGGATATTATTTCATTCCATGTGTCAAATCCTGGAGGAAGCACCTAAAATGCCTCCTACAGAAATTCCACTAAGTTTGATACATAGACCAGAGTTGAGCTCCTGCATTAGGCAAAAAGGCTCGATCTACTTGGGAGTTAATTGAAAATCGGTATCTAAGAGGATGATCTATACCAGTGGTCCCCAACTTTTCCCATGGGGTGGGCGCTGGACGACTAGCTGCCGAGGACTGTGGCCGCCGGACAAGCAGCCGCCGAAATGCTGCCGTGAAGCGGTAACGTCAAGAGGCGTTGCTGCCGAAATGCCGCCGAAATTCAGCAGCATTTCGGCGGTAGTGCTTCTTGACGTTGCCGCTTTTTGGCGGCATTTCGGCAGCTGCTTGTCCGGCGGCTAGCAGGTGGGTGCACATGGATGCCCCAGTGGGTTCCATGGTGCCTGTGGGCACCGTGTTGGGGACCCCTGATCTATACCATAGGTGTCTAACTTGGACAGTGAGATAAAGCAGGGATAGACACTTTAGAAATATCTAAATATTGTACAACAGAGATGGCACTCTACATGCCCAGAAGGACAATAGTCTCACTCTCCTTGTGTTCCTGTTATGAATGTGGTGCTCTTTATACACCTCTAACCTGATATAACGCTGTCCTCGGGAGCAAAAAAATCTTACCGCGTTATAGGTGAAACCGCGTTATAGCGAACTTGCTTTGATCCGCCGGAGCGCACAGCCCGGCCCCCCAGAGCGCTGCTTTACTGCGTTATATCCGAATTCGTGTTATATAGGATCGCGTTATATCTGGGTAGAGGTGTATTTATTTACTGATTCCTCCCCCCCCCCCCGTTCATTCTTTGTCCTATCTCTAAATTGGCTGCTGCTAGATAAGTACAGTTTGAATGTATGATTGTTAAAATCTAGTTTCATTCTCATTCTCATTTCACAACCAGCCAAAACAGTATTTATTAACTTTAGTAACTCACTGAATTGTATCCTAAATCTTATTCTTGTAATCTAGGAAGTAATTTTCTGTAAAATGAAAAATGTTTCAGGCTAAATGATGATGTAAGTATTTTCTTTAACTAAAGACCTTGTTCTTAAACTGCAGGGATTATATTATCTTCATAGTAAAGGAAAAATGCACAGAGACATCAAGGTAGGTCAATTTTTTTTGGATTTTGATTCCCTTAAAATTAAAAAAGCTGCTCTCACTTCCAAAATGTATGCTTGGAGAATAATTCAGGTGTTTTTTTTTATCACTTAGATCAAACAGAGCACTTACTTGGGGCTAGATTGTGGCATTTAGCCACTGCCCTGCATTGGGGGAAATATAGACACATATTACCTTAGAGGAGCATTTTCAGTTGTGCTGGAGGAAAGTGGGAGGAGAATTTAATCTTTAACATATGTTTAAGGTTCAGCATACACCTCCCTTTGCACCAGCCAGCAGGATGGAGTCATGGCAAGGCCAAACCCAACTTTGGGGGGCATAACTCAGGGCAGGAGCTGCTATTCTGCATGGCACTTACGGGTTGGTGAGAAGGAGGCATTCCTTCCCCTCCATCATGTGGTCATGTTAGAGGGTAGCCAAAAGCCAGTTTGGCCCACATAAAGGAATGTATGTTATAAGACCGTTTCAAAATCCAGAACTACTTTTTATCTGCTCATATTACAGGAATAAAGGGACTGATCCAAAGTCTGGTATCTTTCAGTTGACTTCATTTGGCTGTAGATCCGACCGATAATGCTTAATGGAATTTAAACAAAATCGGTGTTCTTATAAAATGCAGTTTTACTGTGAAAAATGGCATCCCCTTAAGCTAAAGAGCTGCATACTGTATTGAGCCATGCCTGCCTGTTTTAGTGATTGTTACATATTTACTCCGGTTAATGTTGCGGAGTCAATGCAGCTGAGAGGACGTGAACTGGATTGTAGTACTACTTGTGTATTAGCCACAGAATTATGTACAGTAACTCCTCACTTAGTCGTCCTGGTTAACGTTGTTTCGTTGCTGATCAATTAGGGAACACGGTTGTTTAAAGTTGTGCAATGCTCCCTTCTAACGTCGTTTGGCAGCCTCCTGCTTTGTCTACCACTTGCAGGAAGAGCAGCCCATTGCAGTTAGCTGGTGGGGGCTTGGAACCAGGGTGGACCGGCAGCCCCCCTATCGTAGGGTTACCATATTTGAACTTTCAAAAAAAGAGGACACTCCACGGGGGGGATTGCCCCGCCCCCTAGCCACTCCCTCCCACTTCCTGCCCCCTGACTGCCCCCCACAGAACCCCCAACCCCCCACCCCCGCTCCTTGTCCCCGGATCACCCCCTCCCGGGACCCCTGCCCCTAACCGCC